CACAGGTACTTCTTCCTTCACAGGTACTTCTTCTTGCACCTGTACTTCTTCTTCCACCGGTACTTCATTCTCTACCGGTACCTCATTCTCGACCTGTAGTTCTTCCTCCACAGGTACTTCTTCCTCCACAGGGGTTTCCTCCAACGGTACTTCATTCTGGACCTGTACTTCTTCCTCCACGTGTGCTGCTTGCACCTGCTGCCCTGCGTGCTGCACCCCGTTGTATTTCTGCACGACCACCTGCACTTCACTTCGCATTTCCTCGTCCAGCGTGACTCTCCATTTTTTTAATTCCCTCGTGTAGGCGCTTTCTAGAGGGGGGTTGTCATCCTTTGCCTCTGCTGCTGCGTCCTCCCCCGGCTGCTGTCCCTGCTGCTCTTCCTGCTTCTCCCCCTGCTGCTCTTCCTGCTTCTCCCCCTGCTGCTCTTCCTGCTTCTCCCCCTGCTGCTCCCCCTGCTGCTCCCCCGGATGCGTCCCACTTGGGCACTTCTCCTCTGCGTGTGTCTTCGTATCATTTTCGGGTTCACCGTTGGTGGCGTCGCTCTGCTTGAGAGTAGCAGTGTTAGGGATGATTGTCTCCTGCTTGGAGGATTTTCCTGGTGGGGGTGCAGGCAGGACGACACCTGCGTTATGCTTATTCTTTTTAACCTTTTCCTTTATCTTCTTGTATATGAGTACAGCCTGGGCTTCGTTAATCTTAGATTTGTATAATAAATCATTTTTAATTAAGAGAAATGAGTTTTTTTTTTTTTTTAAATTTATCACATTTTTGTTTTTACTTATGTTTGTGTTTGTGTTCGCGTGTGTGTTTGTGTTCGCGTGTGTGTTCTCGTTCGCGTGTGTGTTCGCGTGTGTGTTCTCGTTCGCGTGTGTGTTCGCGTGTGTGTTCTCGTTCGCGTTTGTAGACACATCTGCATCCTTCACATGTACTTCATCTTTGAAATATTTTTTTAAATAAAAATCACATGTCTTTTCAACCTTCTCCATCATCACCCTGTGTTTTATTCGCATGGGTTTTTCACTTATCTGTTTTGCACTTGGCTTTCCATTTGGGGTTCGTTTCTTTTCTTTGTCTGCGCTGTCTTCCTCCTGGTGGGTCAGGTTCTTGGCGATCTCTTCGTAGCTCCCGAGGTTCTGCGGAGTCACCACAAAACGCGTCACAATGAACGGCGTAACAATGAAGCGCGTCACAATATGAAGGCAGAACAAACGTGGTTGTGGGAGCAACTGCCGACACGACTGCCGCCGCCACTCACGCTGAGCAACTCGTGGTGCCTCTCTTTATTGCAGGAGAACTTTTTTAATTTTTTATTTTTTAAATTTAACGCGATAACGCTTAGGTTGGATTCTTCGTCGACTTTCAGTTCTGTCAGGGGGGGGGGAGCAAATTGAAAAAACGGGAGGTGACATGGGTAAGAAGACAGTGATGGTGGTGGTGATGGGGGGAGGCTCCCCATTTACATTCTCCATTTGAGGTAAACTGCTGCATCTCTCCTCCCCTAGGGGAAATTTTTTCACCTGTGTAGAACTTGCACCTCTTCTGGCTGTCGTCGATGTAACCTTTATAAAGGACTTTAACTTTGGGCTGAAGGGGCAGCGACAAAAGAGAGGTCATGTGGAGCGGCAACTTCAAGGGGGGGACAACACCTCTGGTGGAAACTTCTAAGCACCCCCAGAACGAACGAAGACACGTACCTTCACAACCACGGGGGGAGGAACATTAATGTGGTTGCTTTTTTTCTCCTTTTTAATTTTAGCCTTCTTAATATTATCGAATAAAAAGTTCTTCTTGTTTATGTTGACTTCCAACTGGTTAGCAGTTTGCTTGGACTGCTCCGCTGCCCGCTTGTCTCGTCTGGTAATGCCCTCCAACTTCTTCTTCAAAATGCTTTCATGTGGTGGGGGGGGAGAGAAGCGGCGTGGGTAAGTATACATACGCACGTAATTAAACATATGCATGTGCAGACAGCAAAGTGTAAAAAAAAAAAAAAAAAAAAAAAAAAAAAAAAAAAAAAAAAAAATGGAAAAGATGGTGCAGACAGTCTGCCTTCCCCAAACACAGGTGTGTACGGTTACTTATTGTTTCTTTCTATTTCTTCGTTCCTCATTTTGGCATGGTAGAGCTTCTTCCTGTTGTTGAGGCTCCGTTTTGTTCTGTCGAACTGAATGGTAGGCTTTACATTTTTCAGTTTCTGCTCCTCGATTTTCCTGCAATACTCCTTCACCCGCTCCTCCACAATTTTGTTCGTTATCACGTTGAGATTCTTCATTTTTTTTCTTTTTTTTTTTTTCACGACGGTGCGACGATATGCGCGACGGTTGGTGCAACGGTTGAGGTGCAAAAGTTGGGGTAATCGATTAAGTTATGTTACGCGGCGCCCGGTTTACGTGTTCGAGCGATACAACTCTCCCCTGACGCCTCGTCGCAAATGAACGCAACTGCTGTAGACAGATCAGACGAAGCGTCCCCCAACAAAAGAAGAAGGGACTGGCCAGAAACGAGCGTCTTGGAAGAGACAAAAAAAAAAAAAAAAAA